TATGTGACACAGAAGTATTGAAGCCGGGCAACCAGCATGTACAAAACAGTACCAGTCCTCCCCTTTTCTCATGACAAGGTCACTTCAATTTTCTAGTTAGTTATAGGTTCTGGCTGCATGTACAGCATGGGCCAAGGATCCAAGGAATACCAGGAATACCACAGGGAAACAGTGTCATTCTCTTTACGGGGCTAGTTCACATAAGGGCATTGTTTCAGATTTAGACACCAAATTTTAGGTGTGGAATTCGCAAAGCAAATTTTTAGCAAAATAATTTGTTCTGCTATTATTGGCCTAATAGTATTATAATGTTGTGATAATATGTTTCCCCCTCTTTATAATATTAGAGCTGGGAATGAAATTCACTTGGAGGGTTAGATTTAGGGGTATCTTTAGTTAAAGACAGTGTTAGGGTTCAGTTTAGTAGTATGGTTAAAGTGACCCTATTACGGGGTGTACAAATTCACAAACAGCTTTATACTGACCTGTCCAGGTGGCAGTGTGTTGGATTTACACTCTCTTAAAACCTATCTCCGAATAAAAAAAAAAAAACTACCCTTGCACTGGGGCTACCTCCACACTAGAACGGTTAACTGTTCATTTTTGTCTAGGGGTATTCTGTTAAAGACTTTTACCTGCTCCCTGCTCCTGCTGGCTCCAAGACCAGCAGCCGCAACAGGCGGAGACCCACTGATGTCATCACGTCTAATGCACGGTCCATAGCTCTGTATTAGACATGACGACAAGGGACATTCCACAGCCGGAGCTGAGGAGAGAAAGGTGAGCGCTGACTGCGGGGACAGTGTGGATCAGGTAAGTAAAACTAGTTGAGCAAAAAATGAGCAACTAACACCTGCAGCGCAGGGGTAGCCCCACTGCAAAGGTAGTCTTTGTTTTTTCGCCTGCAGATAGTCTTCAAAGTAAACCTGTCATGGGAGAAGCACAGAGGCTGCCATTGATAATCTCTCCTTCCACTCTTTGTTGCCTCACAGAAGTTCTGAACCTCATTTCTCTCAGGAGGTTCTGCTACTATCTTACACTTCTGGATGTTCTGCATGTTTACAGGACACTGCATGCTGAGGTTCCTTCCTCCGACAGAGGTCAGAGTATGATGCATGTAGAAGGAGTCATAGGCATCCGACACCTCTGTACGTTTTGAATGCTGAACAGTCTGAAGGATGCCTCAGTGCTTAAATGTAGGAGTGTAACACCCTGCCCCGGGGGGTTGACTGTTCTCTGGACCACAGCTGCGGATAAGGATATTCCTTTAAAGGACGGGTATCAGATTGTAGCTCTACCTCTTAAGCCGAGTATGGTTGTAGGCGAGGAGGGAGCTACTCAACATCACACCCCGTATAGCAGCACTTCTACCCTGTGAGATGTCTGTAGGGTAGTGTGGGATATCAAATTGGCAGTTCAAATAGGTAGGAGTTGTAACAGCTGACAAGATATCAATTAGCAGTTCAATAGGTATGAGTTATTAAGTAGCAGTTCAATTAGGTATGAGTTGTACATCAGCAGTTCAATAGGTATGAGTTGTAACAGCTGACAAGATCTCAATTAGCAGTTCAATAGGTATGAGTTACTAAGTAGTAGTTCAATTAGGTATGAGTTGTACAATAGCAGTTCAATAGGTATGAGTTACTAAGTAGTAGTTCAATTAGGTATGAGTTGTACAGTAGCAGTTCAATAGGTATGAGTTGTAACAGCTGACAAGATATCAATTAGCAGTTCAAATGGATATGAGTTGTACATCAGCAGTTCAATAGGTATGAGTTGTAACAGCTCCCAGGATAACAATTAGCAGTCCAATAGGAATGAGGTGTAACAGCTCACAGGATATCAAGTAGCATTTCAATAGGTAGGAGCTGTGAATTAGCAGTTCAGTAGGTATGGCCGAAGCCTGGTACTTGCGCTTGTGTTGACCCCAGGGATGGGGGAGCGTCGGTTCACTGGTGTACTCGTTCTTTGGATCCTCACAAGGGCAGGAGAGGGCTGCTTTGATCAGCGTCCTGCTTCCACAATAGTGGGACGCCGATCAATCAGTGGCCCGCGGCTTTATGTCGGCGGCCCGAGTGAGGGGGCGGAGTCTCACGCCGCGCCTGCGCAATGATGCTGCCGGACCACGTCCGCGAGTGGGCGGCACCATACGGCGCGCCTGCGCAGCAGCGCGGACGGAGCTCGGTCCCGGCCGTGACGGAACACGGTTGTTACAGGGAGATACTGGCTGTTTGAGAGACATGTAGAATAACTTCTCTATGGCAGGAATCTGCTGTTTGCATTTGTTCAGGGAGTGGACAGGGGCCCTTTAAGAATGCACGTCTAAGGGGTATTAGAAGGTAAGTGCCATTGGGGCTGGTTTCAGTCTCTAAACATAACAAGTGAAAAAAAATACCTCTTCATCTATTCTTTATTTAGTACATCAGGATCCAGGTTGTGACTCAGTCATCCTCACTATCGGCAACACAAGAACATCATATTATAAATGACTGGTTTAAGAGATGCATACAAATGACATTGTAAATTTCTGGGCATGGTATTTAATTAATATAGTCACTATAGGATACAGACCATATAGCCATTGTATAGAGATCCTGTGTAATAATCATGCCAAATGCTTTATTACATAACATTTAACCCAGGGATCTCAAGTCTCCCTGATGTTCAGGGAGTCTCCCTCTTTTAGATAGCGGCTCCCTGACGTCCGCAAGAGGGGCATTTTCTCCCTGAAAGGTTTACTCTGAGTAAACCTTTCCGGTAAGATATCAGTGGGTAAAGTTTCAGAGTGAGGCTTGCCTCTTGGAGGAAGGTCTTGTGATCTCTAGAGTACTCAGAACGAGTCTTGGCTCTCAGAAGGAAGAAGCTACTTGCTGCACGGAGAGGGCGGACATAGACTACTTTTGAGAGCAGGTACAGGCACTGCTGCAGGTTTGAGAGAGTGCTGTTAACCCTTTGTGGATAATATAGAATCAATTATATGTCCTGGTTATCATAACCTGAAAAGAAAAGTATTGATTTCCTATTGTTCTCAGCTCCATCTAGTGGCCATAATGAAGCATTACATCGCATTAAATTCGACCTGCATAGAAAATATACTAAGAACAATAATTTTTGACTTTATTCACACAGAACAAACATTCACAGAGATCCACAGGGTGAATGGCTTTGCTAATTATTTATAAATAAATGTCCTAAAGTTATGTAGAGGCAAACCCTTTTTAGTTTTCGGTGGAGGGGTTAGACCCGCTGTTATGTTTTTATTGCTGTCTGTATCCCGGCTGATTTGCTCTTTCTACTTGTTCTGGTGACTAGTGTTACCGAGGTAGTGAGGGGAAATCCAGGATTTTAGTGTTGTTTCAAGAGCAAGAGGTGAGCGTGAATCAGTCCTGGGGACAAGGTCCAGGGGCCCTAGTCTCTCAGGCCTTCTGCCTGAGATGGTACAGTACATTTCCAGAGAGGACCAGCTCATGCTTTTGTAGGCCTGCGGAAAAGGGAATGTAGTGTAGTGATGGCAGACTGGGGAGTTGAGATTTAAAAATGAGAAGCCCAAATACAGATTATTCTGTACATATGGAGTAGATCACATGAGAGCAGACTTTCCCAACTAGGGTGCCTTCTGGCTTCCTCAGGGGTGTCTCAACATTTTCTGATGGTAGGACTTTGCTGCGAAGGGGGGACTCTAAAGTAAAATGGGGGATTTCAATATGAAAGGGGGGCACCTGGTGTGAAGGAGGGCTCCTGAATTGAAGGGAGGACTTTGATGCAATGTCCATTGGACACCTATCCTCAGTACTCAGTACATTACTGAGCTCTGTGTTCGGCCGCTGTCAGGCCGAAATGACACAGTGACTGGACGGTGGCCGGGACCGGAGCTCAGTAATGCTGTGTCTGAGGTACTGAGTGTCACTGGAACTAGCCTCCTGATGAGAGTGCACGCTCAGCCCCTCTGACATGCACAATGGTCCACTCTGCTTATTGACGCTGCATTTTTATCAGGCTCAGCGTCAGTGAGGTTACCGCCTGGAGCGTCCTGAGGTAGGGCACTGCCAAAATAAACGCCACAGGCGGTAATTGACCTAGGCCTGTTCCAGCATACAGCCATTATTTGAAATTTTTGACATTTTATTATGAATTCTCTCCTTGGGTCCCAGTATGGTGACATTTTATTATGAATTCCCAATTCCGGTATGGTGACATTTTATTATCAGTTCTCTCCTTGGGTGCCAGTATGGTGAAATTTTATTATCAGTTCTCTCTTTGGGTCCCAGTATGGTGACATTTTATTATCAGTTCTCTCCTTGGGTCCCAGTATGGTGACATTTTATTATTAATTCTCTCCTTGGGTCTCGGTATGGTGACATTTTATTATCAGTTCTCTCCTTGGGTCCCAGTATGGTGACATTTTATTATTAATTCTCTCCTTGGGTCTCGGTATGGTGACATTTTATTATCAGTTCTCTCCTTGGGTCCCAGTATGGTGACATTTTATTATTAATTCTCTCCTTGGGTCTCGGTATGGTGACATTTTATTATCAGTTCTCTCCTTGGGTCCCAGTATGGTGACATTTTATTATCAGTTCTCTCCTTGGGTCCCAGTATGGTGACATTTTATTGGGTCTCGGTATGGTGACATTTTATTATTCTCTCCTTGGGTCCTAGTATGGTGACATTGTTCTAATTCAGGTCCTTTTATTAAAGACTGTTAAGATAAAATGTATAAGTGGCCAGAGTAGGAAGCACTATTGTCAGGTAACCAGAGGCGGCAATGAAGCTGCAAGAAGCGTATTTTGGAAAGATTTCCTCTCTGCAGCTTCATTCCTGAAGGCACGAGGTGAGAATACTCCGGACGTCACCCCGCCCCCTCCCCTCGTGTCACCCGGTGCCCGGGAACAGCTGCGAGCAAGGACAGCTCTCCTCGCATTCTTAACCGGGCTATGTGACGTCACTCCGCCCGCCCCACGACGCTCTCCCTCCTCCAATGGGATAAGGACAGTCACCTGCCGCACCCCCGCTACTTCTCGGACCGTTCCCTTTGCCCGCTTTTAGCTGTGTATGATAGACCGAGCTCGGTGCTGCTCTCCCGGACCATGGAGTCTTCTACTAGTAGTTGACGTTTAATTCCCCTCCTCCTGCTCTCCGCGTTCTTCTAGGGTTCCATTCCATCACTCTCTCTGCTGGACTTCGCCTATCTCCACCTTCTGACAAGCCTAGGCTTTGACAGCAGCGCGCCATGAAGATCATCGTGGGCATTGGCGGGTAAGAGTGTGCGCCCATGGACGGGGTCTGTGTGGGTGGCTTGTACTGGGGGGAGGGAGAAAGCAGCTGCTGCTGGGGGAACTACAAGTCTCAGCATGCTGGGTGGACTGGTGGTGTGATCGAAGGCTGTGAGAGATCAGCCACATCAACGTGTTCTGACACCATGTGCTCTCCATTCGGATCATGAGTCTGCCATGTGTCTCCGCTCATTGTGATGATAGGGTGCCCTCTATTGATAGGCGATCCTAAAAACATGGTCATGAGTCACCGATGGAGGGAACATCTTCTAGAGAACTGCCCTGAGCCCTCATCTGAATTGTATCAGTCCTGGAGAACATCGGGATGGTGTAGAATTCATTGACATGATGAAAATACAAACAATGTATCACTGGTGACGTCCCATCTGTCATGTGTTGCACAGTAGCAGTGCAATACTTGATTCGCTGCATTGTCTCCTATTGAGTTTCTTCTAACTTCAAATCAGGTTTTGTCTGTCACTTTTTATGTATTTGTTATGGGTGTAAGATACAAACCTATGGGTGGGGGGTCAGCAAAGACTGGCACGTGGAGGGAAATGTGCCAAGTTCTATGTGGAGTGTTTCTGTGCCAAAATTAAGAAAAGTGGTGCACAAAATAATGAAATAGAAATATTCTGATGCACAGCCATTGCTCATGAGAAAAAAAAAAATCTTCCGGTTCCTAAATCCTCAAATCTGTGTTACGTTTGTTAAATGGAGACATAGAAGCTCAATTACACTTCAGCAATTTCCAGCTGAATATTATGAGAGCTGTTACTATTTAGAGCAGCAATTCTTCCCCATTTATAGTCAACCCTAGTAAATGTAAAAAAAAGTATCTGTTGTCCCTCCAAATCCATACCAGACCCTTATCTGAGATGGTGGATCTGGTATGGGTTTTAAGGGGGGGACCCCATGGCAAAAAAACAAAATGGGGGTCCCACATCAGGAGACCCCCTCTTCACGTTACACTGTGTGAACATTTCCTGGCACCCCTGAGGTGGCCAGAAGGCACCCTGGCAGAGAAATGCTGATTTCGACTCTTGCCCACCTATAACACTTCACAATGTACACCTTCATAGAGTGTTTTAGCCGCAGAGGAAACGGCGTGTCCAGTTTGGAACTCTTTGTAAGAACCGTGGAGCAAGTTCTTGATTCATTCGGTGCACACCATCGGATATTTATAGACAGAGGTCTCACAGCACTTTCTATGTGAGTTATCATAGCTCACACCTCATAAAACTCGTTTTTATAACGTTGTTAATTTGATGCATAGAAGATACACCAATATTTACACCACCAGACTGATGTGTTTTTTTTTTAAATCCTTTCCCGCAATTTTATCTACCTAAAAATGTTATACTATGGGAATAAACATTTCCCTCCTTTTTTGGGTAGGTGTGTCCTCTCTGATGTTGTGTGGATGTCTTTACATTCCCTCCATTTTTCTTGGCTTATGTTTCAAAACTTTCTGAGATGAGCTGTTTTTTTTTTTTTTTTTTCTCTCTTTTCTCTATTTCTCTCCTTTTTTTTTTCTCTATTTTTTTTTTCTGTTTTGTGTTGCTGCAGCTATAAATAAATAAATAAATAAAACGATTGGACAGGTTCTGTGAGGGATCATTTGATTATTTGTACGTTGCACAAGGTCTCCCACCTAAATGAACATAATCTATTTCTGTTACTAAAATAAACTTGCTTTGGCTGGGGTTCGTGGAAAAAGGTTGTTGAGAAACTGATCAAAATGTTCACATTGTAGCTATGTTACTCAGAGAGGATTCCTTGGCTTTGAATGTGAATTTGTGTGTTGAATGTTTGAGTAGAAGCAGACAATGACTGTTGCTGTGGTCTGGCAGCTTTGTTTTGTCCCTCAGAGTTTATTTTTCAATAGTGAGACCAATAAATCTGAAATAAATAACCCTTTTTGTGAAAGAGAACCAGTTACAATGTTTGTATCTGTAAACCTCCAATAAGAAATTGTATCTATAACGGTCCTATTTTTTATTGTATGACTGAAAGCAAAACAACCCCCCAAACTATGGACAATTTGGCATCCCTAAAGGTAAAGAAAAATGTAACCCATAAAGTGAGCTGGTTCCAAATTTTCTACAATATTTATTTATTTATTTTCAATTGTGACTTCCATTTTTTTTAAATTCATTTTTAATTTTTTTTTTTTTCAAAATTAATTTTCCCCTTGACCACCTCATTCCATAGCTAAACTATCATGTTTTCACACAACTACTCTGAAGGTGCCCATACACCTTACGATTATCGGACGATTTTCGTATGCGATCGACTTTTCGTCCGATAATCGTATGTGTGCATTGCAGTGTCCGACCGACAGTACTGTACAATCATACGACTTTTGACGGTCAAGCATGTTTGAAAACTTTGCTAGATCGTACGATTTTCATAAGGTTGCTGGCATTTCCGTCTGTCAAAAGTCGTACGATCTACACTGCGCCTGCGCTAAAGAAAATACGGCAAATCAATTACCGCATTTCGTCCAGGTGCTTTTCAGTAATTACGGCTAACATAATCTTGCGATCATCGGGGCAGGATGGGGCTGCCGTACGAAAATCGTACGACTATTCGATCATCGGACGAAAAGTTTCCTCCGATAACCGTAAGGTGTATGGGCACCTTAAGCGGCTTATCAATGTTTAACACAAGATTCACACATTTTTTTTCCAATTGAATTAGTAAAATGTGTGAAACTTGATGGAACACATTTATAAATGGATCACTGTGAAGAACCCCTACCAATACTGGCTGTAAAGTCCGGTGTCGCCTTGTTCTTTATACAATCCTTGAGCTGAATTTTTGTAGAAATGTATATGGACCTTGGATAATTTTATGCACTTTTGTTTCCACTTTTAAGTCTTTTTAAATTTTTATTTTTTATTCTAAGCCACCCAAACAAGTCTGTTTTTCTAGCTTTGCCTTGTATATAAACCACGCACTTTTTTTTATTGCTGATAGCTGTATCCCTTAGGAGTGATGTATACAGGACAGTACTGTACTTGCGTCACAGTTCTATTTCCTTTTGCAGCTGCTACTTGGCATTGAGTGCTCCTTTCATAGCTTACTGTGAGTCACTACCCACATGTTATCGGACATTTTAAGCTTAAATAGTGTTAGCAGAGGCACCCAGCAATGTTCTGTAATAGAATTGCTTCACAGCAAGTCAGCAGTGTATGGGGAAATGTCTACTTGATATCGGCTTTCTGGTTTATTAGTAAACTGTTATTAATTAGGATTTATAAACCTAATAACTGGCTTCCATGTTTTGGCAACAGGTCCTTTCATCCATGCGTATGCAATGCTTATCCTAATATACGTGAATTAGATTATAGGTTTATGAAAAGTTTCCAGGAAGACGGGTCCTCCAAACTGTGCCAAGCTTTATGTATTCTGGCACTCTCTAAGAATGTGTGAGCCTGGCTATATTTAATGGCAGATAATATATACTCTACGTTTTAAATAATTAGCATTAACAATAGCCACTCTGAATAAAATGGACTCTAAGACAGATAAAAATATTGTAAATATGAACACTGCTAATAATATAAATAGAGGGGCACTGGATACATTGCACTCAGTTGCAGAAAGATCATTTGTGCCCCTGCAGCAGAAAAAGCACACTTTTTTTTTCTTCTATTTGCCATTAAAGATATAGAATAGACTTGGTGACCGTAAACTCAAGAGTTAAATCTTAAAAATGCATTTGCGTACCTTAACTATTAACAATAATGTATCTTATTTGTGTATCACTATCCTTCCTTCTGGAGGGAGGCCACTTTTGTTCCTCATGGTCCCTGTATGTGTTGAAGAGTAGCCACCGCCCCAAACTCACTCATGTGATGGACTACAATCTCACGTTTAGTTTACTCATTTGTATTGAGATTGTAGTCCATCACAGGTGTGACCTTGGAGTGGTGACTACATTACAACACACAGGGAGCATGGGGAACAAAAGTAGCCACCCTCCAGAAGGAAGGACAGTGTCAGCCTAATTCAGAGATGATTTGAGGATCTACAGCCGAGTGATACACAAATAAGATACATTTTTGTTCATGGTTAGGGTACTTGCATGCATTTTTAAGGTGTAACTCCTAAATTTACTGTCACATTAAATCAAGACCTAACAAACTTCAAGTATATATTATGTTTGTGGAAGTCATTTTCAGAATTGTTGTTCTGAGGCAACAGACTTACAATTAAAGTTCATAAAAATGTTTGCCATGTGGTAGTCCATGGTGGGTGAATGCAACATAATGATGACCATAGTGGTGGGTGAATGCAGCATAAGGATGGCCATAGTGGTGGGTGAATGCAGCATAAGAATGACCACAGTGGTGGGTGAATGCAGCCTAATGACCATAGTAGTGGGTGAATGCAGCCTAATGATGACCATAGTGGTGGGTGAATGCAGCATAAGGATGGCCATCGTGGTGGGTGAATGTAGCATAATGATGACCATAGTGGTGGGTGAATGCAGCATAAGGATGGCCATAGTGGTGGGTGAATGCAGCATAATGATGACCATAATGGTGGTCTCAGCTTATCAGCAGTCCAGAGTTCGACCGTTCAAAGAAAAGAAACCTGTACTGTGCCTTTGCAAACCTGAACATGCTAACTGCCTAGTTGTATCTAGGTTCTGTACATTCTGGGTCACAGACCTGAACCAATGTGGCATCAAATGAATTCAGAAGACCAAATCTGTGTAGTGTGACCTGTACCAGACTACATAGTGAAGTGGCTGTATGACGGTGTAACAGTAGAAGGCCACACAGGGTATCTATCCTTTCTGCTGTTCATTATGATTTTTCCAGAAGTATAATCCACTTTGTTAATTTTCCCTTAGAAGGTAAACACATTGGACTATCTGTGATTGGAAAACATTGTTTGGTGCTGTCGGCCATGGTTCAAACTGGACTCAACACATTGGTGAACTCAGGGAATGGTTTAATGCCTTTTGGGGTTAACTGGTAAGCGGCAGGGAGCTGGACATGTGTATGAAATATGGTGCAATCTTGTGAAACTTTTAATTTCACTTCCAGTTTTTTCAATTGCAGTTTGTTAAACTTTGGACAAGAGCACATGTTTTCCCATTCGTATTGGTAGAAGATAGTGTTTGATAAAAGTTGTTGGTTACTGGCATGAAAGATTCATTGCATTCTTGTGTCTGATATATTGCTAGACAGATGGTAGAATTGGGTAACGTGTACATGGGCGTTGTTGATGTGTCCATGTTGCGGTGCACTGTATTGGGGTGTACAGTAATACACCCCATGCTGTAGGTGTCTTGTGCTCGCTGTGTTCAAGAATCAAACTGCTGCTAAGTTTTCTTTATTTTAGAATGGGTTAGGATTTGAACAGCTATCAGATTACTTGTCTCCTGTCCCTGATAAATTCTTCATAGGAACATAAGGATATCTTTTTTGTGTGTGTTTATTATGGAAAACCTTAAAGTAAAGCCGTGCTTTGTAGCATGTAGGGCAAAGCAACAGGTTTGTTTTAGGGCCGGTGCACACCTAGGCGGCAATCATACATGATTCAGCTCGATTGCCGCATGGTCAGGAGTTGCCTATGTGTGCACCGATCACGCTGTGGGTGCCATTGTTTTCTAATGGTACCGCGATCGCACGGTTTCCCGCCAGGATTCCACTAAAACAGTTGCTTGTATTGCAAAAAAAAAGTACCTTTTTTTTTTTTTTCTGCAATTGCTGCACGGATGTCACCTCATTGAAATCAATGGGGCCACGTGGCAATCGCTGCCTGCATTGTGCAGGACCGCGCAGGTCTGCACAGGGTCCTTAAGGCAGAACTCCAGGAAAAACATATATTACCCTTGCAGTGAGGCTTCCCCCTTTTTGCCTAGGGTCAAAAATAAGTTATACTCACCCGATCCCCCTGACCCTCTTAAACTAGTCCCTAGAGTCTCTTCCCCTCCGCTGCAGCGGTCTGATGAAGTCCTCATGCTCTGTACACAGTGTATAGGATGCTGAGGGACATACCATCACTGCAGTGGTGGAGGAGACTGGCTATGATGGCCATCTTGAAGGATCAGGTGAGTTTAGCTTTATTTTTGTCCCTAGGCAAAAACAAGCACTTAACCTTTGCAGTGTGGGAGTAGCCCCACTGCAAGGGTTAATATTTTTCCCGGCATTCTGCTTTAAAACAAACCTGTTGCTTTGCCCTACATGGACAAAACACTTTAAGGGTTTCCATAACCATATTGCTTACATAGGGATATGGACTGATTGTGTGTGACCAGTGCTGTATGCTACTCCTCACCCAGAAGTACTGGGCATTTCCTTTTGGCTCTGTCCTGCTGGTGCCTGCACATTACATCTCAATAGCTGTGGTACAGGACAGTGAAGACTTGTGCTGCTGGATATAAACACAGTGGACATGTAGCCATTGGATGAAGTAATTAAGGAAACTAAGGAAAGGATCACAATGATGAACGCCACACTGAACAAGTGCCTGAGTCCAAAAAAGCCAACACATTTCAGGGGCAAATACAGCCCCCTTCAGGGTTACAAAACAAATATAAGTCTAAATTTGTATTTGCTCTGTGTGGTCATCATTTTGCTCTTTTCCTTGAGCTCTACAAGTATCCGGTGTGGTGTACAGATGTTTTTGGAGCTGCCTAACCAGAGCCAGTGCTCTCTTCCCAAGCTCCTGGAAACCTGCTCTGCCATAAGAATGGCCTGGAAATCCCAGCACCTCTGAAACGTTTTCTCGTTTGGAATCTGTCTCATACCTGAGCGCTGAGCTAATAAGACACTCAAAACAGTTGTCCTCTAACAAAGGTGCGGTCAGGATCACATGAAATAAAACTAACTCATCTTGCATTGATGGTTTTACCCACTTTGAACTGTTTTTTTTCAGTGGTCAGCGGAAGCAGGGGATTTTATTATTATTATTATTATACAGGATTTATATAGCGCCAATAGTTTGCACAGCGCTTTACAATATAAGCAAGAATTTACAATCTAAATACCATTCACAACAAGATCACTCTCCACTGAGCTGCCATTTGTGCTCTGACATGAGTGTACATCAGGACAAATGGCTGCACATGAGAGGTAACACTGTACTGCACTTCTATAGCAGTTTTTAGGATTGGCGATACCGATCATTACAAATACTTTTTCCGAAATCCTGCCTGATATTCATTAAACTATTTAAGATTGGGTTTCCAATGCTACATTTTATTCTAGTGCTTCCATGACAATATATATGTTGAGGATGAAGTTAAATGTGGGCATAATGTGCTTTAAGATATTCAGAATTGTCTAAGTGGTGGTCTGTCTTTGCTTTATTTTAGTGTTACCAACGGTGGCAAGACCACTCTTACGAACAGATTGATCAAATCTCTTCCCAATTGCTGTGTCGTGCATCAGGATGACTTTTTTAAGGTAAATGTCTTTCTTTTTTTTACCTTAAATACTGTATATTGCTTTAAGATGAATGATAACAAGACAGCATATCATTAGGTAATATAAAACATAGTGATCTGTGCTGCTTATGTTTGCTTGCATCAGTTATGCTCACATGTTCCAATAATGCTTACATGGAATATTTGCCAACTTTTACATATTAACAATTTAGGGCCAGTTTGGATAGTGTTTTGTTAAAGGAGATCTATGAAGTGAGTTTGGTTTTTCGCTCATCCTCATAGTTAGAGCCAACCTGTGACAAAGAAGCTGCCACAGATCGGCTCTATTGATCAGGAAGTCAGCAGAAACATGCAGTCTATCCGCTCACTTCCCGATCGTCTCCCTGTAGTGAACAGTGACTCAGTCACCTCTCTCCGCAGGGATTTCCCCCTCCCTCCCCGATCCTCCAGCGCTGAGGAACGAACGGGAAGAGGGCGGGCACAGCTGGCTTTGCCTCCAGATAGGCAGAGCCAGCTGTCACTCGCACAGCTGGGTGGATCTGGACAGTATTGTCAGGATCCACCCCGCTGCGGGGCTGTTGGTATATCGTGGGCAATAGCCCGCAATATACAGAACTTTGGGTCACGGGAGGAGGTCAATCTATGTCCTCCTGTGACCCTAAAGAGAACTATGGGGAAAAACACCCCCATAGTTCTCCTTTTTAACTTCTCTCCCTATACAAGCCTGTGGGAATGTGCAAATGTAGCTGAATCATGTTAAATGCAGGTCAAATGCACCCACAATATATTCTGAATTATCTCAAAAGTGTCTCAAACTGATGTGAAAAGAACGCTGCATTTACCCATTCATGCCTATGAACACAGGCCCTAATTGTGCTTTTTGCCCTTTGAGTTGGGGGTCATATTTTGCCAAGAATGGGGCTTTAAAAACTTGCATTACTGGCAGATAGGTGCCCAATAGGCCTGAGTCACAGAACTGTCTGCTTTTTGTAGCTGTCTGCTCTGTGCAGTGGATTGTTATATAGACATGATCTTTGTACATCTTTCTTTGTCATCACTGTTTCAGCCTCAGGACCAGATCAGAGTTGAAGATGGATTTAAACAGTATGATGGTAAGACAGTGATCATTGCTTCACTCGGATAACTGGTGAAGGTGGAAAGCAATTCAACATGTAATCAAACCTCAATGAGGTGACTTGATACTTTTTAACTGCAACAAAAATGTGATTGTCTTATTCTAGTGATCGATGCTTTGGATATGGATGCAATGACTGAAACTGTTAGAGCTTGGGATAAAGACCCTGTGAAGTTTGAGCGATCTCATGGTATAAACAACACCGTAGACAATGAGTCATGCCAAGAAACTGAAGAAGAAGAAAAATGTCACATCCTGATTGTGGAAGGATTTCTTTTATACACCCATGAGTAAGTATTTCATCACTTAATCTGGCTGGCCAACAATAGTGCTATTAAGGCCTTTGTGTGTGCCCGAAAAAAGGAGAAAAAGTAAGACGCAACAGTAGTTTGCGGTACATTAAATAAAGTATTTTTCCACGGTTGCAGCCAAATTGGGGTAATTTTATACCTTTTGTGTGTTACATGTTCCCATTCACATAGTATACTTAAAAATAAAAAATTTAAATGGTTGCTTATGTTTTATACTTGCTTTTTTCTGGAAAACATATTTTGATCTGTCATTGCAACTGGCCGCAGCCAGCTGTGATATCGCATCCGGCTCCACCAAGTTGTCATTGTGTAATGACAATTCAGCGTCCCCAGGTAGCCTGGGGACACTGATCTGTCATTGCAACTGGCCGGCGCCAGCTGTAAGTTGCAAGGCTTTCAGCGTTCAGCCTGCTTCCAGTTTCACCTCGGCTCAGTCGAGCCGAAGCATATGCCTTCGGCTCGACTGAGCCGCCCAACCAAAGTTTGGGAGCTGTACAGGCTATAGTGAATCGCCCATACAGCAGTCCTTCGGTTCTATTGAACCGAAGGGCTACTGCAGCCGAAGCATCAGCCGGAGCTACGGCTGATCCTGCGGCTAGCTTTGTGAATAACCCTTTAAATTTCCAATAGCCACTGCTACAAAAGGTAGTAAAGGCTACACAAGCCTAACGTCACTCAATAAGATGAGAGCTTAGGTTGTGCAAAGTTTCAATTGATTGAGGTTTAGACACATTATGGTACATTGAGCTAAGTGTTTTAGGATTGCAATGAAAGTTTAATGTGAATAACGTTTTGTATGTTTTATCAAATGACCCAAAATCTTCAGAATATGTTGGCATAGAGAGAGTCTTGTAGTATGGGAAGTTTGTGGCAAAACGATTAACATCCAAGTTGTTTTTTGTACGTTAAGCACCCCAAAAACCAAGCTTAATGTCACTCATTTGCCTTGTGGGAAACCAAAATCCATGAAACTTCCAGGACATGTTTGGGAAGCTAAGAACTTGGGTTGTGCAAAGTTTCAAGGCATTTGATTGAAGTTTAGATACTTTTTTACATTAAGTTCTTTTTACATTAAGCTGTTCACGTTAAATGTTTTAGGATAGTGATAAAATAGTTTAATGTGAAAAACTTTTGGTATAATTTATCAAATGACCCAAAATCTTCAGAATATGTTGGCATAGAGAGAGTCTTGTGGTATGGCAAGTTTGGGGGAAATTAATTAACATCTAAGTGGTTTTTTTGTACGTTAAGCCACATTAAGCTCCCAAAAAAAACAAGCTTAATGTCACTCATTTGCCTTGTGGGTAACCAAAATCCATGAAACCTCCAGGATGGGTTTGGGAAGCTGAGAAGGTAGGCTGTGCAAGTTTCAAGGCAATTGGTTTAGGCACATTATGGTACATTAAGCCATTTTCACATTCAATGTTTTAGGATGTCCCCAAAGCATGCAAAAAAGCTTGTGTGGTTTAGAAGCAGTAATTGCTTAGTTAAACTTGCAAATATTGATGTATAAAATGTCAAACAAATCTTGCACTTCTCCTATTAATGTATAATATTGCACATATATTAAGTATAGTCCTTCGCATTTGTACTGAAGAAGAAAAACCCATAACAATCTGTGTCTGTAGTCTTTGTGCTTTACAATTATAATTTTCTTTTTTTTTAAATTCTAGACCGCTAATACAAATGTTCACACACCGCTATTTTATTACAATACCCTATGATGAATGCAAGAGGAGAAGGAGGTATGTGTATTCTCCTTTTTTTTTTTTTTTTTTTTTTTTTTAATCCTTTCTGTAAAGT